GAAAACGAAAGAATGTGATGAAGCATCAGTGGTAAAGTAAAGTGGGGGTGTATCCACGCGTGCACACTTCCCGCTGGCATTTTATGTTTTGATGGCGCAATAAACCGACGTAAAGCAGCAGTAAAACGCATCGAGTCACAAGTCCGCTCAGCTGATGCTGTTATAAGTGGTCTGACACTAGCAGAACTATCACTCTATGAACTTTGATTTTACGTCATGAGATGTCATCTGCAATGAAAATCTATACTACTTGACGGATCGAGTTTGGATTTCATTGCGAATCGATTCTTCATTCCATGTATTTTTAAAAAACCATCATAATTATTAGAAAACAATTTTTTACATTCAAAAATTACCAGCTAGATATTATTTGTAATCAATACTGTAAAACAACCAAATTATACGCCACGAGATTCAGTTGCTTTTGTGCCTCGCTGGCTTAAAAAATTTATTCAATCATCAATAATTGTTGTTAGAAAATTTTTCGTTATCAATGGTTTTTTTTATTTTAAAAAATAGTTTTGGAATGTTTGTATTTATAATGAAGAATTTTTTAAAGAAATAAAGATTAAAATATTTGAATAGATAAAATATTATGGCTTCACTGTTATAATTTTATTTTAAATACCGGTTCGTGTAGGTAAGGTACCAACCAAGCTGCTCAACATATATGTAAAATGACCCGTCCCTACCAGCTCCTCAGGTATTTCACAGCTGTGCGATTTCAAAAGTTTCAGTCGCTAAAGCAGATCAGTCGCTTTAATACTTACTTTTTCTTATAATTAATAAATTAGTCTTTAATTAATTAATGATGAATTTTTTTCATCAAAAATTTAAAATACTTTTTTCTCTCAATCTGACAATATTATAACTGTGTAAAAATATTAATTATATTATTTTTTTAACTAGATAACAATTTAAATTAATAAAATAAATTAAATAATTACAACATGTAATTGGAAGTAATTTCAAAATAACTTGTCAAGTGTAAAAAATGCATTAGCAAGGTAAGAATATATTTTTTTATAATTTAAAAGACTTCAAGAATTGATTACAGAAGAAAATACTGAATAAATTTGTTAACTTTTTTTATTCCCGTTAAGAACAACAGTTCATAGATAAAATAAGATATTAAAAAGAAGTTGAATTTAAAGTTGTAGCAAATAATGAAAGAATGAAGCTATGATAACGATATCACCATGCATTTTACCGAAGGATCTGGACATAAAATGCGTCGTTTGTTGATCAGAAGACAAGAATAGCTTAACTACGTATAATGCCCAGAAAGGTAAGGATAAAAAGAAAAACGTTAAAAAGTAAAGAAGAAAAAAAAGAGTATGACGAGGGTTGGGGTTGCTGTTATCTGCTTAAAGATGGCGCACTAGGTGTCCCTTTTTCGATCTTTCGGGCGTCTCCCTTGCCTTTGAACGATTATTTTTCGTAGCTGAGCTCTGTACCACCGCCCATTTCTCGTATTCTCTTTGTCTCGTCGTTATCATGAATTGTGAAAGGTTCTTGCGTTGTTCTTATACCAGAATTCCAATGAAAAACTGGCTGAGCCTATCAGTTTACATCTGGGTTTTGATGTGGGACCACAGACTGTCCTAAGGCTATTTCCTTTCCGCGTATGTACATACGTACATAAAATCATGTATTCTTCATCTCTCTAGATGCTGCTCTTTAAAAAGAAAAAAAAAACAAAACCTACGATCGAATTTTAAAAATATTTCTAAATGCATAGTACTCACATAAAAGATGAACAATAAATAAAAATTATACTAAATATTTCAGCGAGTAGCTTGCGTGCAAAGAATCCTGCATGTAGAGAAGTCAGAGACGATCTATCACGCTACTTTCAGTCACGTACAGTTGGGAATACTGGCGCGCATATAGTCAACATGGGTGGCTATAAGCGCCATTGGCAAGAACTCCACGGGGCATTGCACCCTCCTCTACGATTTCCCGATACATACTCTATCCACATCTTCACCCACACATTCGAACTCATACATACATACGAGTATCAAACCAACACATTCTTATTCATGCGTACATAAGCAAAATGATACATCTAAATATTTCTGCATTTACGATTTCCCTTGCTTTTATTTGCTGCAGAGACCAGATGGCTCCGAGATGTGATTTTGCGACGACTGGAGAAAAAATTGCATCATATAAAGGTGTAATAAGAAAGGAGAATGACAAAATTCATGATAAATAGTTAACAACATCATTTTGCTTGTTTTTTTCTGTTAGCAGAGCATTTCAAGGGATTTGTTGGTTTAATCGGACCAGCTTCTATTATAAGAAATGAGATATTATTTAATTTATATGTAAAAAAGAGCTTGCTTCTGTGTGTTCTGTCCTCATTCAAGCGTAACGAAACCCTTTTTTCTCATCTGACATCATTTCGTAGATGTAAGATCGTGGAGAAGAGGGATGCACCCATTTATCTTTTGTTGTTGGCATTGCTCTGGTATGGAGACCGTTAGAATTGGACTTGCTATCAGACGTCAGAAAACGCTAAGGTAAAAGAACATTCGATTCCGTGGATTCTCAACACGAGAGATAGTATCCGAATGTATAGTGGAAGTATTCGATTCCCGCGCACGAATCCCTGGTGAGAGAAAAAACAGAAACATGTCGGGAATCTACCTGGGGACCACATTTATACATATTTCAAAGCTTTTTTAGTTCATGACTTTTTACAGAATACCTAAAAGAGACTTTTCTAAATAGAGTTTTATTCATTTTCCTAGAAATTACATTAAAAAATTTTCACAATTACTGAACTCACTGTCATTTTTTCGCCTTTATTTAAAAAAAAAATCATGAATAAAAACATCATTCCTCAACAATGATTTGGTGTACAAACAATTTTATGACTTTTCTTAGAAACTACATACGCATTAATTTGTACCACTTTTAATAATTCTTCTAATTAAATAATAAATATTAATTTATTTATTTAAAAAAAAAATTTGTAATTTGCATTAAAAATAAATTTGTTTGGTTTTTCCCCTTGATATCTTAATTTATCAATTACTTCACATATAAATTTAGTAACACACCCTATCAATAAATTGTCACAAAATATATTTAGGGAAACAAGTATTAAGAAACGTAACATTCCCAAGGTAAAGAGCTTCTAACTCGTAAAGGAGATTTTTTCCACCCCTTATTTTCCACCATACTCAAACTAAAACGTACAATGCCTGACACGTTTCTCACTTTCTTCTTGTTGATCTTCCTCCTTTCTTATTTACTTTCATCCTTTATCCTTTTTCACTTTCTTTTTCTGTCGATATAAGCTATGGTAGTGAAATGTGTAGTGGGAGAGAAAATACGAAAAGGGTCTCAATATTTCGATGGTAGCGACGGGTTCAGCATTTTTTCAAGAGTTGTAGAGTATCTGGGTAGAAACGCTCCTTGTGCAAAAATTTATCTCCTACGTCTGGAAGAGAACGACAAAAAAAAATGAATTTATATCTGTCTTTACTATTCTCAAAGAATCGATGGTAGAGAATATAGAGAAATTAAATTCGAAGATATCTATAAGTATATAAGATAAAAAGAAGAAGAAGGATCGAGTGATAGAATTATTCAATTCATTGAATGACATACTTATAATAAAGTAAAAAGAAATGAGAGATGGAAAAGTAAGTCTACTCATATCGAGAAGAACTTTAAAAGCAATGCGGTTTTGTGATAGTCATTGGAAGATGAGTGTTGAGAAGTGAATTTAAAGAAAAGTGCAGCAATATTCGATTTTAGAGAAGTGCAGGAATGTAAAAGTCAAGAAGTCGAAAAATATATATACATTTTCCATATGCGAGGTGACAGAAGCCGACGGGGCTAGATCAGTAGAGAAAGGAAGATCGAAGTAAGCCCAAGTATAGTGATATAGAGAGACACAGTTTGAATGTATGGTCTTGGTGTATAGAGAAGTAGAGGCTCAATCCGTCGAGTTCAAAGAGCGAAAGTATGTTGACGGCGATAGCATACAAATACATGTACACACGATATGAGAAAGAGAAACAAATAGAATGTATAAGAAAATGAGAATAAGAAGGGAATAAAATGTTTTGTCCAGGAACGATACATTTACTTTTACACAAGAGATATATTTTACGAAAGAGATGGAGAATAAAGCTCATTCATATATATTGCAAAGCCCAACTAGAGATTGTGAAGGGAAAAATAATTCTTAAAGATGTAAGAAAAGCTGAAAATTGAGCTTTTTAAAGTACATGAAGCGAAGCTGTAACTGCAGTTAATGTTTTATGGTGTATCATGGCTGGAGGTTTAGTGTCAATTGTTTTGATGGAAGTTACTTCCAACAATAAAATTATTTATAAAAAAGGTCCTAAAGAAATGGTGTTTTAGAGATGTGTAAATAGAAGCCATCATTTAATGGTGATTTTCTAACAAAAAGTATTCTTTCAATTGCTCGCCATTCTAAATGGATCATTGCGTAGTCCAGTTTTAAGGGCAGTTCTCGACAAAGAGATATTGAGGATGACTGGGTCATTTATCAAATCGTGTGGTCATGATCATAATCCAAAGTTTTAAAGCTTGGAGCAAAATGCTGAGGGCATGGCGTAACAATGTGTCAAGAATGACTGGTACTGCTGCAGCAGCAGTGGAACTTGAGGCAAGCAGAAGATGAAGAGAAAGATAGAAGTCAGTAGTGGTTAGCAAGTATAACGCTACACAGTACCACACGGCGATAGTGACAGCAGCAGGATAGCAGTGCTAGTGGTGGCAGCCGAGAGGCAAGAGAGCGCGTGATAGTGTAGAGAAGTACGAGGAACTCTCCACATGAGAGATAGAGAGAGGCGAAGTCGAGTAACAAAGAGAGCTTGAAGACTCATACAAGTGGAAGAGAGAAAGAGGGTGAGACAGCAGAGACCCATTCATCTTGACTCGCCTAGCAAGCACACGATTGGTTGGCTGGTCGTAAGGTCGTGCGTCGATTGGTTCGCTCTGTTTACCAGCTGTGCTGTTTCATGGAGAGGGGGTGCAAGAGACAAGCGGCGCCATTATTGTAAGGGGTTACATTTAGCTGGCCGTGGTGTAGTACGCGGCGTTCAGGATAGGGGGCTATAGTACCTTCATGCATGGCCCATAAAGGATTCGTCGACTATCCGAGAAGTACGCAAGAAACGGCTTCTAACACCTGACAGGCCGCGATCACCCGTTCTCCCGCGCCCTGCAGCTCAATTTTCGCGGGTGCTCATCAACAGCTGTGGACGGAGCCTTTCATTGCTGACATTGCTGTGCATTCAACATTTGTTGTCAATTATTTCATACAAGTGTTTCAGAACGTATTGTTTATAAGTGATCAGAACTGTGAGTGGTGACTGACGGGTTGGAAAATAATTCAAAAACATATTTAGGGGTGTTTAAAGAAAGAAACAGGGTGTGTTTCTAGTCTCTCTATCTTTCTATCTGTCTCTGTTTCTAGGTATATCATGGGAATATCATTAGAATGAACCAATTAACAATTTTGTCTTTATGAATCTTTATTATTTTGGCATAGTGTAATGTGCCCTGTTGCATGAGTGGTAATAAAAGTGAAGATAAAGTACCGATAAACAGAGTTGGAACAAGAGGAGGGTAAGAGGTATATACATTGGGAGGAGGGGGATTGCCAACGACCGCGTGGAGACGTATTGTCAATGTGAAGAAGTGCATGTAAGCTCTCTATTTACTATCACTTGTTTTCTCTTATTTAAAAGCAATCTACCTACATTCTGGCTGTTGATTTAATCATTGAAAAGCACAGAGTGAAAGGTGTGAAAGATGACGGAGTTGGAGAATGTCCAGGGCAGATGTTGACTGCCCCTTCGGTACAGGAATCGCTTACGCAGCGATGAGTTCCAAGTTTATAATTGATAGTATGCTACCTAAGTATCACCAACAATTTCATCATCAACAGTTGTTCGCAAGTAATCCAAGTTCAATTCAAAGCTGTTCAGGCGGTTCATCAACCGCCTCTCTCGAATCAAGCCTTTCGGCAGCGGCTGTAGCCGCAGCAGCTGTCAATTACGCTCAACACAGTTCGCCATCACCTACGGGCTCTAGTCCACAGCACTCAGGAAGTTCTGCATCAACATCACCGGCGGCGAGAACAGCTTCCAGCATGTACCCTTACGTATCCGCCGCGGCGGCACATCATCACCATCAACAACAGCAAGCAGTTGCTGCTGCTGCTTTTGGAGCAACGTCATCAATGGTACCAGGATTTGGATCAGCTTCCACCGCTGCTTTGGCAGCAGCCGCAGCAGTTGATGCTGCCAATAGTGACAAATCTTGCCGGTACACAGCAAGCCTCACTGGAAATGCTCCTAGCTCTACTGATCCCATAGTCAATTACAATTTGAGTCATCATCATCAAAACGGTGCAACTTCCAGTGGCCTTGTCTCATCAGCACCTGCTCCATCGGCAGTATCTGCTGCTTCAGCATCTATGGCTGCTGCAGCTCAATTCTACCATCAAGCAGCTGCTGCTTCCGTCGTTGATCCACTTACCTCTTGCCAGCAGCCTACCGCTGGACAACCTGGAATACCAGACATACCTCGATATCCCTGGATGTCCATCACCGGTGAGTCTTCTTCGAATATTCCTAGATTATTTAATATTTAAGCATGTGAATAATAAATATTTATGCTGATCTTGCATGAAATATTTTTACTCTCTATACTGGCGCCTTGTGTGTATGATTAATGGAATAATATAACAGTTTATCTATGAATGGACACCAACATCGCAAATCATTATCATTCTGTTCGTGAATTGATGGGCAATTAACATTCATTCAATATCTTTGATTATTGTTTGTAATTGAAAAGGAATTGAACTCGACCTACCGTCGGCCGTCGCAACTTTAACGCAAGCTCTCTACGCAAGTCTCCCTCGAATGAAGACTGTTGAACTCTGAATTAGTCTAAACGACAATTTAGATGATAAATTTAATTGTTATAAAATTTCAACATCAATCATTTACATTTTTTAACTACTTTCTATTTTAATAGCTCCTGGATTCACTTTTAATGGCTGTTCTATTAATTATTATAATATGGCTCATGATCAAATACAAGCTTCGTATGTTTTTATTAATGCAACATCAAGACCAATATTTATTTTTACTGTTGGATTATTTGATGATCAAAAATAAGATGATTAAAAATATAATCGTTTGTTATTATAATCAAAATAGAGTAAATTAGGTATTTTTGTTCAGTTTTATTTCTTTTGAAATAATTCTTAAGATTGAAGTACATAAAAAGCATCATCTTCAGTAGAATCCATTAATTTCTAGCAATTTATTTTTTACGACTTTTTAGTTTCACATGAAATATTGAGAACAAGTCTCGTTTGCATGCCCATTCCAGTACTTATGTATTTTCTTTGCATGCAATACATTCCTTCCATTTAGTTTTTATTTGAATTGAAGATTAATTTGACTCAATTCAAGTGACCGAGCGTAAAGTAATAAAATACACATACTATCATGAATATAACTATACTAGTACATATAGTACTCATAAATGTTTAAGTCGAGCAATTATAGATTACATCTTTTTATTTAGTTTTAATGATTTCTGGATGCAATAACTGAGTAATTAAGACCACTTTCTCATCACAGAACGAATATTATTGTTCAATAATCGTTATCAACATTTATTGCAATTACATATTAACTTACTACAGTCATTAGAAAATTGTAAATAGTTTAACAGTTTACAAGGACAATATTGAATTATCTAATTATCGAATTTTTAATTAACAATTCAAGATTAAATTTAATTTAATTTTTGTACGTCTACTTAAAAATTTATCTTCAAAAAAAATAATAATTAGAAATTTTATTTGTTTTTGAGAATTAAAAAAAATAATTTAGGATCATAAAAATTATAATTAACATTTTATTAGAATAGTTTGATAAGTTTTTTAATTTTTAATAAAATATAATTTAAATAATATTGTTAGTGAACGCATTAAAATTTTTATCTGTTTAACTTGAGTCAGTTAACATAGTTTTCAGGTCTCTCATGTTTATAATTATGCATTATTAATATCGATCGGCATGTATTAACTTATTTCTGCTTATTATTTTTTACTAAAAAGCGTGAAAATTGAATGCAAATTATTTTCTTTTATCGCAGTCTACTTATTGTGTAAAATATCTCTTTTTAATCACGTTCAATAATTCCTCTAATGTATCCCTAAAATAGTTAAGTTACAATAAAAATAATATGTAATTTATTATTAATTATTAAACGAATAAAAAATTTATTTATTACAGACTGGATGAGCCCGTTCGACCGAGTCGTATGTGGTGAGTAACACCGTTCATTCTCTTTCCTCGTTCTTCGAATGAAAAATTATTTAATTCATGGATTTCTGGTTGAATTATTTTTAAAAAATTCCATATTTAAACCTGTTAATTAAAGAAAAATATTAATAATAACAAAATGGCTGAAAAGTTGTATGTTATCACTGCCAAATATATAAGGAAAAAAAGGGAAATTCATGAAAAGAGGTCGAAGCACATATGGCGACCATATTTCGTTTCTCAAGCTCCATTTAAACTTCAAGAATATATTAGTTACATTCCTGAATGATAGCTCATGATCATGGAGAGTCTACTATAGTCTAGTACATCATATCAAACACAATGTAACAACTATTTCCTATTGATTATTTAACACAATTTAATTTTTAAATTATTGGTATAATTAACGGTAATATGTAAATGAGAATGAACAACTTATGTAAAAAGAAAAAAATTATCACTGACCTCTAAAAGCTAAGAAGGTTAAAAGGTACTCTGTTAAAAAAGCATAAATAGTCAGTGTATATTTTTCATTCCAAGATTGGTATCTTCAATAACTTTAATATAGAAAAAAATAAAAAGTTTATCTTTTTTAGGAGTTTATATTCTCCAAATATGCTCTAAGTGTCCCAAAGTACAGGCTTGAAACTGTCACATGTGACTGTGGAAAAAAATAATATTTCTTTTTCGCGGAAATAGTAAAACTAGCACGCAATGGATCATTATTAACCATGTTTATGAACAAGTCCTTTTTTAATATCACAAACGCACGCAAGGAAAATATACTCCTGGTGTAAATTTACATCTACAGCATGGACATTAATTATGAATCATTTTTAAAAAAATTATTTAATAACTCAGTTAACGAAAATCACGTGTTTTCTTGCCATTAAATGTTATAAAACAAATCATTTAATTATCAAATAGCTCATAATGATGAGTATCTTTATTCTAATCTTGTTATCAAAACTATTAGGTATTTAAAAAAACATAAAATAGAAGATATCCAGTTTTTAACTGCGTTTATGACTATTTTTCTAATGTATAAACTCGGTAGTAAGAATGAAAATAGTTGTAAGATAGTGTTAGAGCTCATATAATCATTACTTTTTGGGAATTTACGTTTTTATGGAGTCTAGATGATCATGTCGTAGACAACACCTGATTCTTGTAAACCATTCTATATAGTTTCACTAGATCTATAAAGATTTAACAGTCTTAACGATTTTATGACTTGATTCGAATGCCATTTACTCTAATACATTTTTTTTTCTTTGACTTAGAACAATTCTTAACATTAATCGATGTTCAAAATTATTCGAAACTACATTCATGAATTTCTAACACACTCAAGTTGTTAATTAAAAGTATAAATACATTTAAAACTCATCATATTAATTAGCATGAAATATATACGAAAAGAATCAGGTGATTAGAATAATCATTTATTTGGTTTACATGCGAATATTTCTAAACTATATATTTTTTTTTTTACATTCATTATTTTTATCATAATCTAAAATATTCTAATGTAAACTGTTCTACATTTACTCCCTACTGTTTTAAATCATATACAATATTCTTTTTTTATTCATTTTGATTTTTAAATTTATTATTTTTTGTTGGTGAGAAATAGAATATCTTCTTTTTGGTGTACTGTCTGTCTTTATCTTTATTCCTGATTTTCTTCGTCTACAATCACAGCACGTCTGGAATTTCGTCAAGACTTGTGTGATTCGAGAAAGGCTTGGAATATATTTTCTTCCTCGGTTGCATTATTTTTGCAAAAAGTATATGAAGGAAAGCCTCAGCTAATCCAAAGGATATCTTCTTCAAAGCTATAAAAACCGGATGATACAATACTATATAGCCTAAAAACATAAAACTTGCACACATTATCATATTAAATTGGATGAATAATGTATTTTGCTATTCCCACTGTGAACTGAGATTGGTCCACTACAACGAAAATTTATCTAATCTTGCGTGCATTTGAATGTTTCCAACACGTACAAACTATAGATCACTCTTGACTTGAGTATAATATTAGGAACATGCACAATAAATACTCGGAAATAAGATCAACTAAAGAGCAAAAGGATGACGATGAAGTGATGTTGAATATAACGTCAGAGGCAGAAGTGTTTATTCAGATTTTTGTCGGCGTACGTGGGCTAGAAACAAAGAGATAATGCATAATTTATAATCAGACTGATCCAACGCCGATGCTCAGTGCACAGCCAAATACTCCGCCTCTGAACGAACCATCCCCTCATTAGCATTCGATGATGGCTCTACGCGTCCTCCACTGACATTCTATACATTATCCCATTTTATCCTGTTCGTTCCTTCTTTGCCCCTAATTCTACAATACCACTCTGTCTTCCAACCCTACTCACTGCCTCCTCTACTTCGTCCTCCATTTTTCTTCTTTACCACTTGATAGTTCAAAGGGCCATCTCACTCACCAGCGTCTGGAACCAATCAACGATCCTTGCCGTATATTTCTTTATATTGCTGATTATTACGACCATAGAGGCCAGGATTGTTTATATCTCACACGTTCAGATGGGAAAGAAGTGACTGGTGTGGGTTTTATGCTTTTTTTGTAGTAAAAATTGAATGGAGGGAATTAAGAAATATTGAAGTAGACTTGTTGGAAGATTAAAAAATGATGATGTGGATGAAGAAGATCATTGATTTTTAATTAATTTTAGAAAATATCATAAATTTGGAATGAAGATGAATCGAAGAATCAAAAAAAAATTAGATGATTTTTATTTTTCAATTTTTTTTTGCTTTCAAATGATTTAAAGTGTCAGATAAATGCATAGATGATTGATTATTAAATTTTAATATTAAATAATTATTTATTACAATCTATAATAAAAATAACAAATATTCAAATTAAGTAGAAAAAAATTCAACCAATCAGACTCTAAAAATTTTAGCTCATTCTACTCCAAAAAAGTTGTAATCTTAATAATAATTCGTAATATTAAATTTTTAATACTTTTTGAAGAGGAAAATTCTGTGTATCCAATAATTTCTTGGTTTTAAAGCTAAGAAATGAATAATTCTACTCCATTTGTCGTCAGTTTCCTACAGTTATTTTTACTTGCTCCATAAATGCATTTCCTCTATTATCATAACATTTCTAATGCAAACGAGTTCACAGTGATGCTGGACTGATGTTGTCAGTTTGGAGTCTGCGACAAAAAAATAATATATGACTTTTATAATAGATTCCATCCTTAGTATTCGATGAAAAAGAAGACGAGGTCAAAAAGGTGGTCAGGTCGGAATCGTGTTGTCACAGAGATTATTGAAACTGCAATTTTATGGGTCTTAAAAGCAGTTTAATTGCCGTTATATAAGTGTTTATGTGCCGCCAGGTTACCGCCGCCCGTGTGCTACCCTAAACGTTTATTTTATGGTCATATACGCGCCGCCACAGTGTACCCCGTTGTCGCGTGCCAGGACTATCATACCAAACCGAGATGTAGCGGACCTGTCGATTCCCCTGTTTTCTTGGGCGTTCGTCAAAATTTTACACACTCATTCTTGACCATTTGGTCTGGACTATCGTCGTTTATTTTCCATTCAACTTCTTCTTCTCCACATGTTTTTTTTTCTCCTTTTTCTTATTTGTCTCTTGGATGATGGGATCTTTATATGCTATCCATTGCTTCTTTTCATGCCTTAAATAGTTGGCTCGAGCTTATGCTGAACATTCCTTGCGCATTTAGAATATATAATGCTGCGCTTATTTATCAATTTATACTTAGAAACATTACTTTAATAGATTCAATGACTTCCTCTTTACAAACATTATTCTTAGAAGTTAATTTAAATCATTTACATGAGTTTAAATAATTATTTTTTGTTTTTTCCTTTTTTTAAAGCAATATTTAAACTTGAGTAAAAAAAAACTTGGGGAAAAAATTATTGAAGAAAAATGCTAAAGCATCAACATGTGAACCAATTGATATTTTATGCTTTAAATGTATGGGAATTTTGTTTTGGAAAGAAATATGTTCAGTTAAAAAATCATTGAGAAAACGAAAACATTATGAAGATTTACAGATACAACCCATTTACTTTCTTCTTTTCCTGTGACGAACAACCCTCGCATCTCTTTTCCGGTTTCTTCGTTTGCCTTTTTTTTCGACCCATCATATAACTTTCACCGCACCCTTTGTTGACTATGAGTACAGATATGCCATTTAACGGACAGGGTAATAAAAAAGTACCTGATTCCGAGCTAAAAAACTGAAAGGACAAAAAATACAGCTCTTTAAAAAACGAAAAATTTCTACTTTTTAGGACAGTTTGTAAATCAAAGTCAATCTTCACGCTTCAATCAGGTGAAAGTAAAGGCTTCGAAAGTATCCTTTCCAAGGAAGTTAGAAGTCAACCAATGCTTCTGCATTCTCTAGGATTTTTGAAAGCTCTGAAAAAAAAATTTTAAACGAAAAAAATATCCTAATATATTTTTTAAAATATTTCTTAAAACTTTTTTCCTATTTTATATACATCAAACTATTCATTCTAGAGTTAATAAATTTAAAATGCAATGTTTCAGTAGTTATAATATTAAATAACAATAAAACATTATTTATATCTCTAATAAAAATTTATTAATGCAATCATTGATGATAATAATCATATCAACGATCACATTTATAACTTGAAGTGTGCATAGAGAATTTAATTAGACAATAAACATCACCGGAAATCGTTCAATGAATATCCTAATATGTGTCTAAGATCTAATAAAAATGAAAAAAAGAAAACAAAATGTATTTAAAATTTTTTAAATCCACATAGGAAAACTGACAAACAATTAATTTCATCTAATTAACTCAGTAGATAAAGTTTAATGAGTTTTCATGTAATATTCCTCAACTGGAACCATCAAATCCCTTTATATTTCTCCAACGCAGTCTTTATAGTTACATAACAATTAATAAAAATTAAAATTAATTACAATCATATTTTTA